GGATAATTACCAGAACATTCTCGTTTTGCTTTAATTTCTTCCTCGTCCTTATTTTTCAATTATTTTGTAAAAATCAGAGTTATGTTCATCAATCTTTTAGATAGTATGGTTAACTGTCCTCTACCTTCAAAATTGAGGGTCTAAGTATCCAAAAATTTTAAATATGTAAATTTGGATCCTTACATGATTGAAATTGTCAATACGGACATTAAAATCAAATGCAACTTTCAGTTGATTTGGAGGAAAATGTTAAGAAATTTCACGATTTTGCCATGCAAATTTAAGTCACATAAAAGTCGCATATAATTTACCTTATATCTGGCCCCCATTAAATTTCATTTCATTACATTCAATTTTCCTCTCTTCTATTTTCAACCACATAATTTTTCATAAAATAATATTATACATCAATCGAAAACTTTTCCTTCTTTTTTAACCACCAATTTTTCAAAAAAACATTATTCCACTCATTTTGATTTGCATAAAATGGGCCAAACGGGAGCTTAATGATCTGTTTTGACGTTTTTTGTCATTCTATACTTATTTTTAAGGGATCTAATAGATTTGGGACCCAAATATTCACTTTTGACGATTGAGAGCCCATGGCCACACTCGTAAAAGGTTGAGGAGCATGGTCCTGGTTCATCTTGTTTTCCCTTTTATTGAACATTTTGAATCCCAAAAATTAGTAGATAAAAACACGAACTATCAAATCATTCTTGTACTTTATGAGTTATTAAAGTAATTCTTATTCTTCTAATTATTTAGTAGTTCTATTATAAAAAATAATTTAAAATAATATAATACACATTTAATGGGCCAAATGAGCTTTTAATTAATTCCTTTATCATGATTATTATGTAGAGAAAATTGAATGCGACAGTGGTCCCAAAAAACCCCATTCTATTGACAATTAATACATATAGGTAACGGAACTTGCCCTATTGATATGAATATTGAAATTAAATAATTGAAAATTAAACACACTATTATTATTTCTCTTTTTCTTGAAATTTGGTATTAATTAATGAGATGTTATTTACGGTTTATTCATTAAGAAAATGATTTCATTGTTGAGAGGACATATATGGACCATACAGTTGGATCCATCTATGGTTTCATTAAGAAGAAAACGAAACATTCTTGTAGATAGTATTTATGGCGCACGTAATAGAAAGAGATGGTAGGTTTTAGTATCGGACGAGATTAGACACTTCAAATTTCTTCTTTTAAAACATTTATTTAAAATTGACTCGACAATTGTATGAGTCGTATATGCATTCTTAAATTTGTAAGTTATTATTTTATCACTTTTGTCTAATCCATCTTATGAAACGTTCAAGAAATGTTTATGTTGAACTGTCTCGATAGTTTTTATATGCATTTTTAAGTATGTACATCTCATGTTGTCACTATTGTCTAATCTATACAAAAAAATATTTATTTACAACTTGTCACTATTTTTTAACACATTTTCATGCCTGTAAATCATATGGAAAGCAAAACCCAACAATTTTAAATGAGTTAAAACAAGAACTCATCATTTAAAATTTAAAAAAAAAAAAGAAAAAAAAGAAGAAGAGAACAACTATCCAAACTGTTAAAAAACAAACTAACACACTAAACTTTAATCCTAATAATTTTAAGATCAATTATGTAAA